GTTGTTAACTTTTTGGATTATAGACCCCTATGATTAAAGCTATGACTTTCTTCTAAGAAAAATATACATACATACAAAATTCTGCAAACAAGTTTTGTGGGATTCAGAAATGCCCTGAGCCCACTGATGGCTGACAAATTGAACTCTTTTTTTTTTTTTTTAAGATTTTATTTATTTAGGGGCGCCTGGGTGGCTCAGAGGGTTAAAGCCTCTGCCTTCGGCTCAGGTCATGATCCCAGGGTCCTGGGATCGAGCCCCGCATCGGGCTCTCTCCTTGGTGGGGAGCCTGCTTCCTCCTCTCTCTCTCTCTGTCTGCCTCTCTGCCTACTTGTGATCTCTCTCTGTCGAATGAATAAATAAAATCTTTAAAAAAAAAAAAGATTTTATTTATTTATTTGAGAGCGAGACAATGAGAGAGAGCATGAGCAAGGAGAAGGTCAGAGAGAGAAGCAGACTCCCCATGGAGCTGGGAGCCTGATGCGGGACTCGATCCCGGGACTCCCAGGATCATGACCTGAGCTGAAGGCAGCCATCCAACCAACTGAGCCACCCAGGCATCCCCAAATTGAACTCTTTTACTTTTTATTAATTTATTTCATTAAGAAGTATACTCTTATGGAACAAAATTTTTAAGTACTAAAATTTACAATCAGTGGTCTTTCTTCTAGCCCTGTTCCCACACTCCTCACCTCAATTCATCTTTTATCAAAGTGACCAGTTTTGGGGCGCCTGGGTGGCTCAGTGGGTTAAAGCCTCTGCCTTCGGCTCAGGTCATGATCCCAGGGTGCTGAGATCGAGCCCTGCATCGGGCTCTCTGCTCGGCGGGGAGCCTGCTTCCTCCTCTCTCTCTCTGCCTGTCTCCCTGCCTACTTGTGATCCGTCAAATAAATAAAATCTTAAAAAAAAAAAAGTGACCAGTTTTTGTGTAACCTTCTGGAGACAGTCTGTGCATACACAGGCACAAGCATTAAAAATTCTTTTCTTCTGGGGCACCTGGGTGGCTCAGTGGGTTAATGCTTCTGCCTTCGGCTCAGGTCGTGATCCCGGAGTCCTGGGATCGAGCCCCACATCAGGCTCTCTGCTCAGCAGGGAGCCTGCTTCCCTTCCTCTCTCTCTGCCTGCCTCTCTGCCTACTTGTGATCTCTGTCTGTTAAATAAGTAAATAAAATCTTTAAAAAAAAAATTCTTTTCTTCTGACACTTTTTTTGCATTTATTTTGGCAATTCTCCCACATCAATATATAAGATTTCAAATGCACAGAATTCTACTGCATTGCTGTATCCTAATTGCTTTTATAATATATTTCAAGCTTATAAAAAAGTTGTAAGCATAGTACAAATAATTTTTTCCAGAACCATGTGAGAGTAAATTGTTAACTTGATATCTTATCACCCTTGAATGCTTTTGTATATATTTTCTACAAATAAAAATATTCGCTTACATTGACCACAATATAATTATCAAAATCAGGAAATTAACATTATGCATTACTACCATCTAATTCTCAGACCCTGTTCAGATTTCACTAGTTATCCCAATAATGTCCTTCATGTTAGGTGCAGTTCCTCAATCTTTCTGATTTTTATAGCTATAACACTTTTGAAGATTACAGGCTAGCTATTTTTTAAAGTTTTAAAAAAATTTTATTTATTTATTTGATAGAGTACAAGAAGGGGGAGTGTCAGGGAGAGGGAGAAGCAGGCTCCTTCTGAGCAGAGAGCCAGATGCGGGATTGATCCCAGGACCCTGGGACCATGACCAGAGTGGAAGGCAGACACTCAACTGATTTAGCCACCTAGGAGGCCCATGCTAGCTATTTTTCAGAATGAACCTTAATTTGCTTTGTCTGATGCTTTCTCATATTAGCATCATATTATGCATCTTTGGCAGGAATGTAAAGAAAGTGATGCTGTGACCTTCTAACTGGCATACAATTTCTATTTATCCCATTGTGATGATATTCATGTTGACCATTTGATTAACATGGAGTCTGATAGATTTCTCCACTGTAAATTTACTCGTTTTTTTCCATTTGTAATTAGTAAGTATTTTGAGGGGGTGGTAACTTTGAAAATATGTAAATATCTTATTTCTCATGAAACATTCAATTTATTAATTTATTTAAATATATCAATATAGGCTCACGATTTCCCATTTTATTCAATGGATTATGACATGTTAACATAATTATTTTGATGCTCAAACTGTCCCACATTTGGCCAGTGGGAGCTTATTCAAGCTGGCTTCTGTATGTTCTTGACATGCCCCATTAATTCTTTGAGCACTTTCTTACTTTCTGCCACAACAAGATGATCCAGGCTAAACTTAAGCTTTCCCAGCCCTAGTGGTAGAATCAGTTATTTCTCCAAGGATTCTTGGTTCCCTTTAGTGGAGAAAAATATTTAGAAGCCACCATCTGGATCCTATATATACTCATTATTATTAATAGGGCACCTCTGCTACTAGGCCTTCTCAGTGGATAAAGCCAGGGAAAACACACACACAGTGCTTGCATGCACATATATATAAATATACAGACATATACATTTAACATCTATATTTCTATGTATTTCCAGTCACTGATATTGCTCATTCTAATCCAACATTACAGAGTTCATTCTACTTTTCTCTGTTTTTCTTTCTTTCTTTCTTTTTAGGGTAGGAGGAGGCAGAGAGGGAGAGGGAGTAAGGGAGAGAGAGAGAGAGAGAGAATCTTAAGCAGGTTCCACACCCGGGGAGGAGCCCAAGGTGGGGCTCAATCGCATAACCTTGAGATCATGACCTGAGCTGAAATCAAGAGTCAGATGCTTAACTGAGCCACCCAGACACCCTGACTTTTCTGTTTTCATATTTGGAATTCCCTTCTCTGACAGTGAGAAACTGGACTCCCATTATCCTTAATATATTTTCTTATTTGATCAATCCTTCTGAATGTAAGCAAACTCCCACTCAGTGCTGCCTCCTTCCCTGCATAGAAACTCTTTTTTACTCTACCCACCATCCAGTACTCTGCATCAGGCTGATGCTTTCTCCTCACCTTCCAGTGTCGTCGTCGTCTTCTTACCTGTGCTCTGACACCCTTTGTTCCGGGAAGGGAAGGGAGGGGGGAAAGGGCCCATGATTTCTTTAACATTCTCTTTTCACCCATTCTTTTACTCTTACAAACAATACTGCAATTAATAATCATGTCTATACAAGGATAGTATATGTTTAAAGTAAATTCCTAGAAATGGACTTGCTGGGTCAGAGAGTATGGGCATTTGTAATGTTGTTGACTGTGCCACATTACTTTTCAGAGTTTGAACAATTTACTGATGATGATGATGCCTGAAATAACTCTTAAGAATGGTAATTCTAATGCATAGGAAAGACCTTAAAGATACAGGATAACATTTGAGAAAAATTAAGACAACTTACTTTCTCTTCTCTGGAAATACATTTATTGTTATATAAATCAAGTTTCTTTCTTTTTTTTTTCTTTAATGTATTTACTTGACAAGAGAGCACAAGCAGGCAGAGCGGCAGGCAGAGGGAGAGGGAGAAGCAGACTCCCCACTGAGCAAGGAGCCCAATGCAGGAATCGGTCCTAGGACTCTGGGATCATGACCTGAGCCGAAGGCAGACGCCCAACCACTGAGCCACACAGGCGCCCCTAAATCAAGTTTCCCACTAGTTCAGTTTCTTGGTAAAGAAAACGAAACAAAATTTAGCCATCGCAAGCAAATTTAGAAACACAAAACAATAACCAAACAGATTGGGTAAGAAGTAACTTTAAGAACCCTCAGAAACATAAATTAGTACCATAAGCTAAATGGGAGTTAGTACAGTAACTGCAATTTACAAGGAAAAATGAAGACAGGAGCACACAAAACAGCCAGGGAGTATTTTTTCTACCAAATTTGTTCGACAGATACTTGTCAGAAAACCGTTTTGCAGGTCATTAGCTTACATCTTACAGCCCAGCAATGGTATCCAGCACTGGTTAGCGTGTCCCCTCCAACAGTCAGCGTTGTCAGCAGTTGCTGGCAGTGCTCGGGCCTGTCAGCAATTGGGAGTTTGCAGTTAGGCGGTTTGCCCAGGTCTTTTCAGGGTTTTGCCCTGGATGCAGGTTTGTGCTGCACCCCGAGAACCACTTCAGTCCCAAGCAAACCTGGACATGAGCCACCCGAGGACCAGGGCCACACAGTGAGAGAACCTGCGCTGTCCAACACAGCACCGCGAGCCAGATGGGGCTGCTTACAATTTAATCAAGAACAATTAAACCTAAGTTCCTCGGTCGCAGTAGCTAAGTTACAACCGCTCTACAGCTACAAGTGGCTAGTGGCTACCGTATTCGAAAATGCAGATCTAGAATTCTTCCATGATTGCACAACGACTATTAGACAAGGCGGACGTTAACAGTTTCAAGTTAAAAGGAGGAAAAAAAAAAAAAGCTCAGAAGCCACTAGGCTTCCCTACCCCAAATAAACAGATGTTATTACTTTTTCCAGATAGGACGAGGGAGGAAATTATGCTAAGAAACCACCAAGCAAAAACCTGCACAGGCACCTGCCAGCAGGCTTTCTCAAGGAACTCACTCGTAACTCCCACGGCGCAGGCCGTCCGGCTTTCTGCGGTGTGGAGTAACTCCCCAGACTTCTAGAACCCAGGGAACTCCCAAATCGGTGGGCGACCGAGGGCCGAGATCCCCGAGATTCAATTGTTCGACGTGGTGGACGCGTGTAGTCACAGAGTGGGCGAGCCTCGGCTCGGTGGTCCACAGCCCGACGCCGCTCTGGGTCTCGCATCCTCTCACTCAGGTGCTTGGAGCTGGCCGGGAGCGCGAGCCCGCCTGTGTGTGCGCGCTTCTGCACGCGCGCCGGCCCGAGGGCCGCGAGAGGCTCGCGGCAGCCAATGGGGAGGGGCGCTGCGCGCCGGAGGCGGGGCCGTGACGCGCGCGCCTCGTGACCCCGCTCGCGGCCTGCGCCCGAGGAAGCCGGAAGCGGCGGCGGTCAGCAGCACCAGCTGGGGGTGGAGAGGCGGCAGGGAGTCCCTTGGGGTTTGTCAACCCAGCAATGGGTCCGGGCGCGACAGTCGCGCGGCGGAGGTCGTTGCTTCTGCCGCGGCTGCTGCTGGTGCCGCTGCTGTGGTCGGGGCTGGCTCTGGGCGCTCTCGCCGTGGTCAGCAGACCCTACAGGGTCCTTCACGACCTCCTGTCGGAGCAGCAGTTGCTGGAGGTGGAGGACTTGTCCCTGGCGCTGCTGCAAGGCGGAAGGCTGGGGCCGCTGTCACTACCGCCGGACCTGCCGGATCTGGATCCCGAGTGTCGGGAGCTGTTACTGGACTTCGCCAACAGCAGCGCAGAGCTGACCGGGTGCCTAGTGCGCAGCGCCCGGCCGGTGCGCCTCTGTCAGACCTGCTACCCCCTCTTCCAACAGGTCGCCAACAGGATGGACAACATCAGTCGAGCCGTGGGGGTGGGTAGAGGAGCACACCCAGGACCTCCGGCGTGGAGGGTTGGGAAAGGAGGATGTGATGATGGTTTACTCAGGGCGGGGGTGGCTCAGTTTCTCTGTAAGGAAAAGGGATTGTAGTTTGGGGCATCAGAAGAGTGGGTGGTATTATAGGTCTTGGAGTTTGGAGTTTTGCCTCCATGGCTGCTTTTGGGCATCTTCTTGATACATGTTTGCAGATAGGTATGGCTGTTTTTCGTGGGGGTCCTGCAACCTTAACCCTACCTTTCCTTTCCCTCCCCTCCTTTACTCTCTTCACCCCACTCTGACACAGCTTCTTCCCATCTCTACCTGTTGTTCCCAGGAAGGACCTTTTCCTGAAACTCCGAGTGGGGCAACTGTAGTGTGGTTAGGAGGCTTGAGCTTTGTAGCCAGATAATATCAGATCCGCCACTTCATAGCAGCTTGGTCTTGGATTAGTTATCTTATAGTCTTAGTTTACTCCTTTGCAAAATGGAGAAAAACAGTTGTCTGATGTGACTGTTACAAAGATTAAACGAGATAACATATGAGAGCTTATTTTAGTGATTAAGACAGTCTGCAGCCAGTCAGCCAGGAATCCAGTTCGTATTAGCCGGCATATTCTGGGCAAGTGACTTACATTCTCTATGCCTGTTTTCTTATTGATTAAGATAAAAAGAGCTCTTAGAAAACAAGCACATAGTAGTAGTTCTCAGTTAATGGGAGCTAAATTTTTGGGAAGTGGTATATCTGTCCTCCATTTTTGGTACTCTTAGCCCTTTTCTGGTCATGTGGTAGGTCCTGTGAGGGTTTTAATGAAAAAGAGAGGGAGAAAGGAAGAGAATACATGTTCCTGGTAATAAGAAACTTACAGGGTCTAGAGTCCTAAAGGGTAAGAGTGTCAGGCCTGGTAGGAGTCATGAGGTGTGGGCTGGATATGCCTTGTAAAGGAAAAACATGAAGAATGACATTGGGATTGTGGAGAGGGAAATTTCCTCTTGTATTGAGAGGACAAGTAGTCTCACAAAAATGTGATTGGAATTATTGCATAAATCATAGTTGGTGTGACAAAACATGACCTTGCATAGAGTTGTATCCTGCTTTAAGTGAGCCTGATATTACTTAACAGATCTAGTTTAAAAAAAAATTTTTTTTTACATAAATAGGAAATTTACTTGCATTAAATAAGTTATATAGTCAATCTCTCTGTAAAGAGCTAGTTTTCAAGTTTGGAAAAAACAAATAAAACCAATGAATCACTGAAATAGCAGTTAGTAAAAGTTCATTGTGCACACACCAAAAAAGACAGTTTGTAACCTGGGAGACCTCAAACCAAAACCTGGAATGAGGCTTAGAGATGCATTGTTAGAAAGCAATGTACGTAGTATGGAAGAGTGCATTAGTTCTTCACAGAGTTGGTTACAATATAGGAACTTTCTTTTTATTTTTCATAGGAATTTTCTTAAAAGAGAATGGCTTAGCAATTACCTCATATCAATTTTGGGGAACAGTATAAGTCTGGTTTATGATTTTCCAAAGAGAGAAGAAGTGGCCCAGGTCAGGTTAACCTCACTTGTCTTCCAAGATAAGCTAAATTAAGCTTTTGTTTGTATGACTAAACTGGTTTTGTCTGATCAGGGAATGTTCAAGTCTGGTCTCCATTTGTATTTGATTTTAACATAGTTTAAATAAATTTAGGGTTACCTGCAATTTTTCCAGGCATACTTCTATTAGATATAACATATATCCCTATCTATCTGTCTTCCGATGAGTTGAAAATAAAGTACCCAAGACTTGTCCCTGTCAGTATATAGCAAGGTATGATATGACATCATGTTCTGTTTTGAGCAATTTCGTGAGTTGTTTTGTGGCCAAGGTGATTAAATAACGATACAGTGTGGATCTTTTGAGGGAGCAAATGCTTTCCTCATTTGTGTAGATACTGTGGAATTAAGAAGAGGTTAAAAAACTACCCCCCCAAAAATAAAAAAAAATAAAATAAAAAACTATCCCAGACTCTAGTGGTGCAGCATTATGGTCATCACCCAATCTGTGTTTGAATTTCCACATGAATTCCTCATTGCCCAAGAGAGGCATGGTGAGGGCCTGGGGGAGGGGTGCAGAAACTTTCTTCCTTCCTCTCATTTGTGCCTGTTAAATTCTCCCAGTGATCTGAGCATCAGGCTCACTTTACCCTTGTATGGAAGGAAGAGTCAAGAGTTTAAAAAAAAAAAAAAAAAAGAAAGAAAAGAAAAGAAAAAAAAAAAACCCTTTACTCAAACTGGATTTCCTCTCCAATTCATCTTAGACCTTGACGTCTTTCCCTTCCTTTCCTCAGTAGAGGTGGATGTGCTTTGCTAGCTCAAAAGCATTATTTCCAAGGTTCTGAGGTTCTTCATGGATTTAATAGGCTTTCTTGGATTGGTTTGGGAATTGAATCATAATGTGTAATAATGAACTTATGGAAAAAAAGTGTTCTGAGTTTCTTAGAAGTGAATTTGAAGGAATCAGTTGTTCTTTGTGTGTGGCGAGAGGGAGGTTATTTCTAGGGAGTAATGTATTTGTCCTACATAGACTCAATCTTTCCCTTAAATCAGTTTAATCAGCAAGCACATGTTATTGTTTTTTTTTAAAGGATTTTATTTATTTGACAGAGAGATCACAAGTAGGCAGAGAGGCAGGCAGAGAGAGAGGGGGAGGCAGGCTCCCCACCAAGCAGAGAGCCTGATGCGGGCGCTCGATCCCAGGACCCTGAGACCATGACCTGAGCCAAAGGCAGAGGCTTAACCCACTGAGCCACGCAGGCGCCCCAGCACATGTTATTCTTAAATATTGGGCTGGTAAAACGATACAGTAGGAAAAGAAGGATAAGGCCCAAGCTTCAAACTATCACCATAGTTGGGGGAAATAAACCTATTTTGAGAAGAAGAAAAAAGGAAAAAATCATCAATGTGACTGTTATATTTTGAACAATAGCAATTTACAGCAAAAAGTTTAAGGGAGATGCTGAATTAAAGGCGGGAACAGAGCCAGGTGGGGTTAATCAAAAGAAAACCTATAAGCTGAATTTTGAATAAGATATCCTTTATCATCTCTTCAGGGTGAATCCATATCCATAGATTGATTGAGAGAGGAGGGAAATATAACAAGGAGAAAAAGAATCAAAGGTAGAAATTTGCAAGCTATTTCTCTGTTACCGCAAGCTCATTCATTTAATCTAACAGAATTGTCTGGTGAGAATTCTCTCTTGTCACTTCCTCTTGGAATTACTGAAACAAGGACCACGTATAGTTTTATTATCTAAAGGTAAAGAATACTGTAAAGAATACAGTGAAACTTGAGTGGTATGAGTGACTGATTTCCTCTTCCTTGGAGTCATGCTTTCTTCTTTTAGTATGAACTGATAATGATTTCACTGAGCTGTTCAGCATCCTCAGAGAAGTTGCCAGGATGCTTTGACCCCCAAACTCTGAATTGCTTAGCTCTCTCTCATTCTACTTCGTTTGTTTAAAATTTATATAGGTAGGTATAGATATATAAAGATATGTATATATATTTATGAAGGTGCTAGTGATTAGGGGGTATGTACCTACGACCTTCAACATACTTTTTTTGGCTATAGACTGATAAAGTCTTAGAAATATATGGAGAAACTCAGAACATAGAATAATATAACAATCTTTCATTAGTGATCAGAACATAATGCTTCTTATGCATTTAATTCAAGATCATTGGGAACCTAGTATGTGCAGGCTAGTAGTTACTAAGGATATAGCTGTGAATAAGCAGAACTTGTAGTCTGGTAGGGAAAACAGATACTAAGCATGTAATAATACAAGTAATTATTTAATCCAGGTGTGATAAGTATTGCAGAGTAAAAAACGCCAGACGCTTCCAAAGCATATAATAAGGGAGCTGATCTTGACTAGGGCTAGTAGTAGGTAGAGTGGTCAGTGGTTAAAGCTGATATTTAAAATCTGAGAGGGTATGGGGCAAGGGTGAGAAGGAATACATGTAAAAAGTAACAGGTGTGAAGACTGAGTCTGGTGTGTTTGAGCAGTAGAAAGAGCTCAAAGTATTATGAGCCAGGAAGAGACTAGTGATCTGAGCCTGAAGAAGTAGGCAGGTACCAGGTCATGTGGGCCTTCTCGGGTTTTAGACTTTCATGTTGAAGCAGTGAGATGTTATTGAGATGTTAATTCTGTAGAATGATGTGACCAGATTCTAGTTACTTGAGGAAAAGTGGAGGGAACAGAAGATGGGGATGGAAGGGGAAGAGTAGGTGTGGGAGGTAAATTAAGAGACTCTTGCAGGAATGTGAGAAATGGTGGCTAGGCTACATGGGGACCATTTTGATGGGAGGGAGGAATGGACAGATTTCAGAGATATGTAGGAGGTAGAATTGACAGGATTTGTTAGTTAACCTCAGGGAGGGTTCTTGAAGTCCCAGTGTTTATGCCATTCCTTATACTTTCTGTATCCTCAAAACCCAGGATTCTTAGAGTGCCTGGTAAGTAAGTAGTATGAGTTAAATAACTTCGAAAGAATGAAGTGTCAGCATGACCTAATTCCTTGCTTGGGGCAAAAGGGAAAAGAAACCAATAAGGATCAAATAATTTAGGAACTTGGATTTACTTTTTTGCATAGTGTGAGTTTTCATTAAAATGATCTGTGGAAAGCATATTCTATGTGGATATGAACTATTTGGGTGCAAAATTGGTGTGTCCCATTTTCTTGTGATTTATAAGGTTTTGAACCAAAAATTTCCCAGAAGATGACACTTAAATATTTTGTAATCATTTACTCACCAGATAAATTATGTAAGTAGTATATGTTCATTGTAGAAGAATTTACTATAAAAGAGGCAAAAAAGAAAATGAAAATGACCATATTTCCAGTATTCAGAGATAACCAGTGCTACATTTTGATGAAAGCTTTCCAGAATTTTTCCTATGTATAAAAAGTAAGAAATATGATGCACGCAATTTAGCCTAAGTGGTTGACATTGTTCAACAGAAGCAAGTATTTATTTAAGAAGCAAAGATTTTCTTCCCTTGATGGTGAACCTGGTATCAATAAATATTTAGTTGTTTTTGTTTTATTATGGTTATTAATGACATAATTATTTGATTATATCAAACAAAATGTTAAAAAATGCTTTTAATAAATACTTCAGTTATTTTGATAAGGGTTTTTTTTTGTCATTATTGTTTTGTTTGTTTTTTTGCCTAAAGCCATTGTTTGGGAAGTCTAAAAATACTCAGATTGTATTTTTCTGTCTTTTTGTTACAGAATACCTCAGAGAGTCATAGTTGTGCCAAAAGTCTCTTAATGGCAGATAGAATGCAGATAGTTGTGATTCTGTCTGAGTTTTTTAATTCCACCTGGCAGAAGGCAAATTGTGCAAGTAAGTAATTCTTTCATTTTCATGTTGCAGTTATGGTTCAATAGTATAGATGTCAGATTTGATTTTAGTGAATTTTGAGATCTTTGAAGCTAGATAATACTTTTTCCCACTCAGTTTAAATGAACTACGATTAGCATCATGGTTTATTAGTGGGAATTACTTGGGCAAATATTGAAAGGCAGAAAAGTGTAGTAGTTAACAGAATGAACTTTGCAGTCAGCAGATCTGGCCTTGATTCTAAGCTCTGCCACTTCTTAACCCTGACTCACTAGCAGTCAAACCTTGGGCTTGTAAATTCTCCTCTTGGACCTTCAATTTCCTCATCTGATTTGGGGATGAATTGGAGATAATAATGGAACTTACCTTATAAGATTGTTTTTAGTATTAAATGAAAAATATTGTGTAAAGAACTTCTCTGAGTAGCTGGCACATAATGTTGAAGAAATGTTAACTGTTTAATAATAATTATGATGTTTATAATCTGTCAAATGGTAGTGATGGAAGGTGGTAACATCTGTTCTTACCAGTTTTACAAGTTTTATATGTATTTGTATAACAGAATGAGATCTATATTCAGGCACTCTTTGGAAAAATTAAAACCACTGTTTCAATTTGTGTTTTGACTACCAGCTGTGTACCAAGCAGGTCTTATTTTCCATGCCTTATAATTTAGTGGGGGAGAAATTTATGTTTATAGGAGAACCTAAGGCAGACAAATAAATGCTTTAATAAAGTCAGAGAATCCTGGGGGGAAGTAGAGATGAGAGGAAGGACACTGCTGAGAGCTAGGCATCATGGAGAGAGGCACAGAGGTGTAAAAGAGTACTAGGTGTTTTAGGGTCTGGAAGCCCAGTGGGAGGTAAAGTTGGAAAAGGAAAGTAGGACCTTGACTGATACAGTAGTTTATCACAACAGTATTTTGGACATTTACAAAACACATGGAATGTTAAAGGCAGTAAGAAGTACTACAGGTTAAAAAAATCTTTTTCAACATTTAAGCTAGCACTTTCCAAGCTTTTTAAAAAATGTATTTCATTAAAAAACAATTGAAGTATAGTTGACCTACAGTGTTACATTAGTTTCAGGGGTGCAGCTTAGCAATTCGACAATTCTATACATTACTCAGTGCTTACCACAGTAACTATAGTCACCATCTGTAGCTCTTTTTTTTTCTTTTTTGCTACGAAGACCCTGTATTTTTTCTTTTTATGGAATCCCATTGGAAGAGGAAGAGAGAGACCAGTGAGGAAGTTCTTACAAAATAGTTTAGGCAAGATGCAAAGAAAACAAAGTAAGGCATGGGCAGGAGAAATCGACAGGATTAAAAAAAATCTGTGTGCCTGTAAGTCGTTAATGAGTTTAACTTTTCCAAGGACTTGTCTTTTTGTTTAGTTCATATGAGAAAAACTAAATGGCAAAAAGACCCCTGCTAAGTTTCTTTTCTTTGTAGTACATTGCGATATATCGATTATTGACTCTTTTTAGTTTTGTCTCTATTAATTGAGATTTTCTGGTAATTTGAACAGAGGCTTGGCTGACAGTTACTTTTTTTTTTTTTTTTTTTTTTTTAATAGCAAAAATTTTACTCCTTTGGTGTAAAAGTTTCTAGTAGGGGCGCCTGGGTGGCTCAGTGGGTTAAGCCTCTGCCTTCGGCTCGGGCCATGGTCTCGGGGTCCGGGGATCGAGCCCCATGTCAGGCTCTCTGCTCAGTGGGGAGTCTGCTTCTCCCCCTCTCTCTCTGCCTGCCTCTCTGCCTACTTGTGATCTCTGTCTGTCAAATAAATAAAATCTTTAAAAAAAAAGTTTCTAGTAAAATACGATGGAACAGTTTGCTTAACCTGTATGGGAGAGCTATTTTTAAGTATTCTTAAACCCTTATTTCCATTGATATAGAAAAATATGTTAATTATAAACAATTTAAAATTAGTTAGAATAAATGGATATATATTGGGGTTCACTTCCTTTGACTTGTGTGATTTAATTTTTATATTTGAGAGGTAAAACATCTTTTCTTTAAAAGATGTTTTGTGGGACGCCTGGGTGGCTCAGTTGGTTAAGCAGCTACCTTTGGCTCAGGTCATGATCCCAGCGTCCTGGGATCGAGTCCCACATCGGGCTCCTTGCTCATCAGGGAGCCTGCTTCTCCCTCTGCCTCTGCCTGCCATTCTGTCTGCCTGTGCTTGCTCTCTCTCCCTCTCTCTCTCTCTGACAAATAAATAAATAAAATCTTAAAAAAAAAAAGATGTTTTGTGACAAAGACTTCACTAATTCAAAGTAGCTTTCTTTTCAAGTTAGTTCAAAAGAAAGAAAACATTTTGCTGCATATTTACTTAATATGATAGTTATAAAACTCTTTAGAATGAATTCTTAGGTTAACTTTGTTTTTCTGTGAGCCATCCTATCTTGAAAATATTCCTTGATTGAACTTCTTTTGAAGAACAAATGAAATGCTTACTTTTAATTAAAATTAACTTGGTCAAGACATGTGGTCAGGTAAAAGAAGCCAGGTGCATTTATGCTATTTACATGCTTGATATTATGGAAAGCCTAATCTTTTACTAAAAATATAAATGTAAAATACTCTCTTTTTCTAAAGAGCAATTAACAGTACATAAAATTAAATGTGAAAAAATTTTTTAATAGAGTTGTGCATTTTCTAGGAAAATGTAAATGCTCAGCAATGATCTGGCATCGGGTTCTCATTAAATTGCATCTCTAGCAACCAGATCTATTAAACACTAATTTCATGGGATCCTACTCTTTTTTTCTTTTTTTAAAGATTTATTTATTTGAGATGAGGTGGGGCAAAAGGAGAGGGAGAGAGAATCTTAATTCTCTTCATGCTGAGTACAGAGCCAGATGCAGGGCTTGAACTCAGGACCCTGAGATTACAAACTGAGTAGAAACCAAGAGTTGGATGCTTAACCAACTGAGCCACCCAGGTGCCCCGACTTTAATTTTCTTAATGAATGATGATAAAGGTTTCCATTTACTTGTGCACTTAGAAGAAAATCTATTTCCTACCTATTCATTGTTTTTTAAATCATTGACCTTTAGAAATATGTAGAAGAATACAAGGGATATTTACTCTTTTAATAAATGGAAGACAACAGTCATGTTATGTTACAATTTTAAAGGAATTATGCCTGGTGAGAAGTTTGTTTGGATGTTGTAATTTTGTACTGTAGGAAACTAGTAACTACTACTCCAAAATATGACTATAGAACACCAGAATATGCCACCCCAAAAAATTCCTCTTTGTTATGAGGATAATTTTGAGCTGATTACTTTGATAAACATCAGACACAGGAGAAGCTGTGAAGACAGAGTAGAAGTAACCATTTTATAAGGGAAATTTGTATTTATAAAGAAAATCTCCATTTGTAAGAGTATTTCCTTCTCTGTTACCAAGAAACAGATGACTCTAAATCACAAATGAATCTTAAAAATGGAAAAGGCAGGGACATACATCTACATAACTAACCTTACATTTGTTTACCGTGTTTCTCCTGGTCAGTTCTTCATAACCAGCCTCCCTCATACTCTTTCTTTGTTTTTAGCTGAAGGTGACATTTAAGCCTGAATTCTAAGCCATCTATTTGAGTTACTCATTTTTCTTGTGTGTCTGCCACGTATATATGATACAAGTTAACAAACTTCTGTTTGTCTTTCTCTTGTTACCTGTCTTATTACAGGAGCCCTAGTTGAGAACTTAGAAAAATAGAGGGAAAATTATTTTTCCTCTACAATATATACATGAAAATCACAATATAAATTTAAAATTTTCTGGATTATTTGCCTTTTTATATAAATACAAAGAAAAATATTTTTCTCAGAATTTGTGTGAAATTATTAAACTCAAGCCACTGACCCATTTGCCTCCATTACCTTTTTGTGATGATCTAGTTAATTAAATTTGCAAATACACCCCGATGGGTGAGGCCAACAATAAGGATCTTTAATGATGAATACTATGGAATCCATTCATTCTAGCACCTAAAAGATAAAATAGGAAGGGAAAAAATGACAAAGTATGAACAAAAACTACTGATATGTTTAAAAAATTGGGTTTTTGTTGTTGTTTGTTTTTGTTTTTGGATTTTTGTTTTGTTTTGTTTTCATAAAAAATTGTTTTTATTTGACGACAGAGATCACAAGTAGACAGAGAGTTAGGTGGGGTGGTGGGGAAGCAGGCTCCCCACTGAGCAGAGAGCCTGATGTGGGGCTCCATCCCAGAACCCTAAGATCATGACCTGAGCCGAAGGCAGAGGCTTTAACCCACTGAGCCACCCAGGTGCCCCTAAAAAATTGTTTTTAATGGAGAGTTAAACCAATATGGTATCCATCTTGTAAGAATGTATCTTTTGATATAAAATGACTATTTGTTTCATCCTCTCTGCTAGCAAATGCAGAACTATAATTATACTGGTAAAAATATTTTTAAGTGAATTTAAGAGACCATTTTTTAAAAAGATTTTATTTATTTATTTATTTTTTTAAGAAAACACTTTTTTTTTTTTAACATTTCATTTATTTATTTGACAGACAGAGATCACAAGCAGGCAGAGAGGCAGGCAGAGAGAGAGGGGGAAGCAGGCTTCCCCGCTGAGCAGAGAGCCCGATGTGGGGCTCGATCCCAGGACCCTGAGACCATGACCTGAGCCGAAGGCAGAGGCTTTAACCCACTGAGCCACCCAGGCGCCCCAAAAGATTTTATTTATTTATTTGACAGACAGAGATCACAAGTAGGCAGAGAAGCAGGCAGAGAGAGAGGAAGGGAAGCAGGCTCCCCACTGAGCAGAGAGCCTGAAGCAGGGCTCAATCCCAGGACCCTGGGATCATGACCCAAGCCGAAGGCAGAGGCTTTAACCCACTGAGCCACCCAGGCACCCTGAGACTATTTTTTAAAAAGAATATTACTTAAAATACAAAAATACAAAAAAATTTAAAAGATTATTAAAAGGACACCTGGGTGGTTCATTTCCCGACTCTTGGTTTTG